ATCAGTTTATCATAAGTTAACCAAAATCTAACAATTGGAAACCAAACCGGTAGTTCAACGAAAGAATTTAGATAAATATTTAAAAATCGTTAACCCAATAATCCGATATCGATGAATCAATAGCATTTTTTCTATTCGATTTATTGATTAAATCGATTTTTGTACACCCAATCAACCGTGATGTTCATTTTTACCATATTTAAAAAAGAATGATATTTATTTACATTTAAAAATAAATTTAATTTAATTTTTTTATTAAAAATTTAATAAAATGATTTATAAGTATATAAATATTTATAATTTATTCAAAATCATGAGTTTTAAAAGTCTTCCGGAGAATTTTGTTCCTCGTCGTTGTCAATCGTCACTGTATTTTGACTAGAACCGTCAATATGGGCTAGGCCCGTTGAGCCCGCCTGGCCTAACACGTGATTTGATAGGGTTGGACTACGATTTTTGGAGCTCATTTAAGAAAATAGTTTTTTAGCCCGGCCTGAATAAATCTGTCGATTTGTGGGGTTTGAGAAACATGGATAGGGCCGGCCCGTGGGCCAAATAAAAATTAATTAAAAAATAAAAATAAAAATAGAATAGAGTATTAAAATTAAAAATAACAAGAGTCTAAACTCAAAATCTGTTTAAAGTTTGAAATATTACAATTTAAATATAAATTATGTTTATAAAATATGTACTACATAAAATAAAAATTCCCAAAAATTTCTAGGAATCACTACATAGGCCGTAGACTATGTAATATTGTCATAATTTTTGTGTTTTATTATGATAATTGGAAAGCAATTAGGTTAATATTTTTATATAGCTATTTATGTTTTTGCTTAAAATCAAACTAAATAAATATTATAAAGATAATTTTATTTGTGGATTTGATTAACAAGTAGTAACACTAACACCGTGTAATATTATCTTGTCAATATTTATGATATTATTTTTAAATTATAATTTAATTTAAAAAATTATAAAAAATATATCTTTAAGAAAGGAGGGCAGGTGCCTGGCAAGCCTGTAGCCCACATACGTGTGGGCTGGGCAGACCATTTTCTGACCCACACCAAAAATGGGCTAGCCCGGCTTGACCCGTCAAATTTCAAAGCATGTATGAGTTAGCCCGAATGGGATGGGCTAGCCCATATTGACAACTCTAATTTTGACTACTATGAGTACGTGGTAGGTGGTTACAAATTTGACTTATAATTTGGTCCTAATTGACTTTTATGAGTTCTGTTAAAAAAATTATAGTAATAATAATAATAATAAATAATAATAAAATAATAATAATAGTAATAATAATAATAATAATAATATTAGTAATAATAAATAAATAAATAATAATAATAATAAAAATTAATTTGTATGTTTTTCTTAATAGTACTATTTTTTTTTCTCCAAACGAAAACAGTCAGGAAGCAACCTTGTTTGGCATGTTTAGTTTGAATACAACAATAATAACGATAACAAATTTAGTATAATCTCATATATGGATCTGCAGAAGGTAATATTTAGGCGTTTTTACTCCTTTTTTATGGGATAAAAAAAGTTATTTCCAATTGACCGTCAATAATTCTTTATCTATCCGAACTTGAGACCGACGATGTGAACAAGTTCACACTAAAGAAAAACGATTCCAAATTGTTCTCATTATATTTCAAAACTATTAGTATGCATATACTATTGTAAAAACTAATTTAAATATACTACCAAAAGATGTGGTGCAGTGGATGAGACTGCTTGTCCCTTAATCAGCGGTTTCAGGTTCGAGCCCTAGATACGAGAAAATCCTTGGCAGGAAGCGATGCGAATCCAAAATAGTCGGACTTCAATAACCAGAGGTCTCATTTTCAAGCCCTAGATACGAGAAAATCCTTGATAGGGAGCGATGCGAATCCAAAATAGTCGGCTTCAATAAAGAAATAAAATATTTAAAAGAAATCAGAGAGAAGAGGTAGAAGACTTCACTCAATTGCTTAAATACTCTTATTTTACTGTTTTTTTTAAGTGTGACAGAGCACCCTATCTATAATAGAACTAGAAAACTTGTTCCTCATATAAGTTAGACAAATAAATTCTAATTAGATATGAATTAAATAAATGTCAAATACCAAAATTCTAATTAACTTTGGTTTCTACTCGTAATTTAATTTCTACACTATTAAATGTTTTTTTTAAGGATTATGTAAAATTTTCAAAAGACATATAATATGAACGGGAGGAATAATTTGATCAACTCTTGATGGTAGAAAATTATGAAATAGAAATATTGATGGTAAATTTTTTTATTTTTACATTTTTTTTGTCATGACCTAGGTCTAGAAGATCAGGGGCGGACCCACGTGGGTTCTAGGGGGTTCACCTGAACCCCTTCGATAAAAAATTACATTGTATATATAAGATAAATTTTCTATATTTATGTAGATATATTAATTTTAATCCCCTCATGAACAAGAAGTAGGTTGTAGTGTAGCGGTAGATCTCCTTTTAGCTTCAAAAAATCCAAACATGAAAGAAAATCCAAACATGCTAAAAGGTCTTATAACGGAACTAACTTTTTGTACCTATATACTACTACTTCCTTGGAATTGTCACAATTGTGTTTTGTTGGCTTATTCACACGTTTATACTTTTATTTTTCAAACACCTGAATGAAAATCCTGGATGCGTCGAGAACATCCAAGTATAAAGCCACGTGGATGTAAGCCCTTTGGTGATTTTACAATTTTTCTCTACTATGCTATATAATCAAATCGAATAAAGGGCTCCAATGCATGTCTCCCACTACTTCTTTATTATATACTAGTCGCACGATACGTGCAGGCTTACAACTTTCAAGTAGTATACAAGTATAGAAAATTGTGGTTAAACCTAGTCTAACTTAAAGACACCTTTAAAACCACACTTTTCACATAAAAAAAATATTATGATCTTCTTGCCACAACAAAGTATACATGGAGAAAAAGAAGATGATTCTTGCCATTGGTAATTTTTGCATTCCAGCAATTCCTTCCGAGCTCATCTTTGAAATTCTGAAATGACTTTGTGCTAAGTTTTTAATGCGTTTTAGGTGCGTTACAAAATCTTTTCCTTATTCATTGAATCACATCAAAAAAGTTGTGTAGATCAATTCCTTGTGAGTTACATAGCTTTAAGTGACCAAAAAAAATGTCATATACAATTTAAGGCAAGATCACTTAGCTTGTGTTACTAATTGTCCCCTCAAGTACTTGAATGAGCCATGTTTTTAAAATCTTGATTATTTTATTTTGATAACTATGGTGTCTGGCCAACTTTCGCGCACCTCGACTAATTCCGGATGTCTGCCACCTCCTACTAGCAACAGACACCAGGTAACTTTCCCCACCAAGGTGAAAATGTTGGATGACAGACGTGGAAGTTCATACGTTTAAATCGAGAAACTGGATTTTTACTATAGGAATGGATAAATCATGGAGGGAGGTAAATGTTCCCAAATTTTACCCTGCCTCTAAGAGAAACAATTGGGTATGTATCAATGGAGTTATTTATTGTTTAAATGTATCCGAACGAGGTTACTTATCTGCATTCAGTGTTGGAGATGAGAAGTTAAGTCGATACATTTTGTTCCCCGATGAGGTAAGGATATCGAATTTTTTAGAATACTCACCAAGAATAGTAGAAATAAAGGGACAAGTTGCACTTATGGATAGTTCTAATTTTTGAGACGATGGCAATGTATGTTTACATGTTTTTCTAAATGAGACATGGACTGAAGCAAATGATTGAGCTACCATCAGAGTTATTATCAAACACAACTTTTAGCCCTTTATTTACCGTGAATTCTAAGGGAGAGATTCTGTCTATTCAACTTGTGGGATTTCACCTATGTTCTAGTATGGCATTGGATTGAAAGAATGGAGAGTAGTCGATATACATGAAATTCATGAACGAGAATATATCAATGAGAGTCATTACATTAGTTTTGTGTTAAATCTTGTAGAGAATATTTGGTCCTTGAGATAACTTCTACTACATTGAGGAGCCTCAACCGGTTTGGATTTTCAATGCCTCAAACTGGTCAAGATAGACGACAACACCTCTGGATTTCCATCTCTTTTCATATGAAGAGTTTTTTATATGTCATTGTCTCTAAAGTTTTTGTTCTGATCGATTGTTAACGTTCTATGAACTTCAAGCATGAATAATACTTACACGATCATGTCATTTATGAGTGATTAGAGGTAATCATTATGATGAGATTAGCAAATAATTTATGAATAATTAGAGGTAATCGCTGAAACCATTGCTCAAATGGAGTTACGTGCTTTAATTAATGAATCCCCATTCTCTATTTTGGATTCTAAGTTACGTTTTTTGAGTTAAAGTAATTCAAAAATTTATATTGAGGTATTATGCCTAAAAAAAGAAGAAGAAAGAATCACTCACAAGCACCGAGTAGCACTGACGTGGGCGAAATGGGAGCTTCCTAAACTTTGAAAACGGGGTTGTGGGTGAGCAATACAAGCATTGTGCAGATAGAAAGTTGAAAAAAAGGGAGAGAAAAAGAGGAACCTTTGGTCTTTTCTTTTGTCTACATGATAAGGTTAGTGGACACTTTTAGGATCTGATAGTGACATCAAATCTTTCTGCTTTGTGACTATTCTATTGTTTGATTCCCATAACTTATATGTTGAATGAAACAACATACGAATGTAATCTCACAAGTGGGGTCTGCGGAGGATAGTGTGTATACAGAGGTGAAGATAGAGAGATCCTCCGCAATGCTCTATGTTGAATGTATAAACCAGAAAGTAATGTAATAAAAAGTTTACTCAAGTATGTTTATTGAAAAGCGAAAAGTGACAAACTAAAAGTAAAAGTAGATCTGGCTGATAGAGACTAGAGAATAGAGAGCACTAGGCAGATTGTGGACTAAGCTAAAACACTATGTTATGAAATAAACTTTTATTTTCTTTTACTTTGAGAAATTAAAAAACTTGTGGAGGGACATCATGGCTTATGTTGCTATTACTTGTCTTATGAACACCATACAACAATCAATTCAACTTACTGGATGCAATTTGCAATCATCCTATAAAACGCTTCAATCTTTGAGAGCTATCGTGGAGTTCCCTTGCAGTTCAGTAATATTAGGCGATATTGAGGCATTAACAAGGTTGGAGGCACAAATTACAAGGTTAACATACACAACAGAAGATAAGGTTGACTTGGAATCAAGAAATGTTTTCTTAGCAAAAAACCAAATTTCACGAAGAATAGCTATTTGGAAACTTCGTTTCCTCTTGAAACAAGAAGTACACCGCGTTGATTCTTCCATGAAGCAGTGGATAGGAATGATAATCAGGTACACCAACAGCAAAGATCTGACAGCACGAAATTTGACTCTCGTGGGTACCTCTCAACATGCCTTGGAGACTGAGAATATGATGGTTGGCCATGAAAACGAATTCGAGATGATACAGGATCAACTTACCAGAGGAGAGAGTGAAGTAGAAGTTGTCTCAATTGTAGGTATGGGGGCATTGGTAAGACAACTTTGGCTACCAAATTTTACAGTGACTCACTCATTATGTCTCGCTTTGACATTCGTGCAAAAGCTACTGTATCACAAGAGTATCGTGCCAATAATGTACTACTAGGCATTCTTTCTTCTATAAGTGGAAAGACTGATGAATTTCATGAGCAGCAAGATGATGGGCAACTAGCAGACAAACTGCAGAAGCTTCTAAAAGGTAAGAGGTACTTGGTAGTCATTGTTAGTGAAAACTTACAAGATAACAAAAATACAAGATTACAATTGAAAATAAAAATGAAGAAATAAATCTCTTCAGGCTGAGGCACGGATATATCGCTCTCTTTAAGGAGATTCATGCCCATTGCAGCAAATGTTTTTCACCGGTCCAGCAATAGTCCTCTTTGACTTGTCCCCTTCAGGATACAACAGCCTTCACAATATATAACTCAACAACTCTGGACAAGAGTTGAGTCCAAAACTCCACAAAAAAAAGCACTTTCCTTCAACTAATAAGAACTCTCTTTTTTGACTAACTTTTCCACTCTATATTTCCTTGTGTGTTGTGTCTACCAAACCAAATAAAGACCACCACTATTTATACTAGAAGAAGTCTTCCTAGCAATGAATAAGAAGATAAATGGTGTAGTAAATAGTGAAGATAATGGCCTTAGGAGTTACATATATTACAAAGAATAATGGAAGAATAAAGAATGAGATAATGGAGAAATAATATGGAGAAGTAATGGCCAAGATGCCACTACCGATGCTGCAAGAAATGATCATAACATCAGCACTTACTCTGAATGGAGTAATGCTCGAAATAACTACCCAACGGTTAAGACAAAAGAATTATCCACCAACGGACAACTTACAGCAAATGCAATACTTTGACTCCAAACATTTCAAGCAAATTAATATACAGAGATATTAATATTAAAATGCTGACCAACAATCCCCCACTCATTTTAATATTATATAATAGAGTATATCAGCTGAATGAAGACTATCATGCATAATGAAGGTGTGCTCTGCATTGAACCTCCACTTAGTGAAACAATAACTTTTACTCCAGAGTTGTAGTGGTCTCAGACTTGAACTATGACTGCTTGAGGGAAATAAAATATCACTGTCCACATATAATAATCAAGTTGTTGACATGAGCTTTATAGCCAACACGTTATGGTCTTGTGCTATCCCGATTTCATGAGTGCATTTGAGAATAAGCCCAATTGTCATAGGAAGCGACCTACTTCCACACATCACATAGGTGAAATTTGTCAAGAGTGCTCCTGTAAGGTTAACACTCCACCCATACAGGCTACAAATATTCATTAAGAGTTTTATCAACTCAACCTTCACAAACTACAGGAAACAATGCACTCACATCATAGGGAGGGAATAAAAAGATAGTGCATTTTTTTCACAACAAGTCATCATATGATTAGTTTTTTCCCTTTGAACCTGGTTATAGGATCTCTAGTCCCCAAGTTAGGTTTCCTCATATATGACTCAAGGATTTATAGGCTTCAATCCCATCCCCCTCGATGTGCTCCAGACCTTTTCTCTTGTTAAGGCCTTAGTAAGAGGATCTGCAAGATTATCACAAGATTTGACATAATCAACATTAATGATACCATTTGTCAAATATGATCTTATATTACTGTGTTTCCTCCTTATAGGTCTGGATATACAGTTGTAATAACGATTTTGAACTCTACCAATTGCAGCGGTGCTATCACAATGAATTAAAATAGGAGGAATTGATTTTTCAAAATAAGATATTTGAAATAACAAATCTCTTAACCAATTCGCTTCCTCACTAGCTGAAGCTAATTAAAGCAATTAGTTCAGCCTCCATGGTAGAGTTAACAATAATAGTTTGCTTTTTTTTATCTCCAACAAACAGCACCACCACCTAAAGTAAAGACATAACCAGTGGTAGAACAAGAATCACCTGATAAAGTGTTCCAATCTGCATCACAAAAGCCTTCAAGCATAGCAGGATATTTTTTTATAGAACAAACCACAATTTTTTGTTCCAATTAAATATCTCATAACTCTTGTTATAGCATGTCAATGTTCATTACCTGGCTTGCTTGTAAACCTGCCAAGTACTCCTACTGCATATGCAATATCAGGCCTAGTGCAATCAGTCACATACCTCAAACTTCCGATTATGCTAGCATATTCCTTTTGATTTATTACATCATTTTCACTTTCAACAGGAAATAAATGAACACTTGAATCAAAAGGAGTTGCAACATGTTTGCAATCAAGAAATTTATATTTTTTCAAAATTTTCTCAACATAATGTGACTGGTCAAGGAAAATTCCATCATATGTTCTTGTTATTTTTATTCCAAGAAGAACATTTGCCTCACCAAGATCTTTCATATCAAAATGGCTTCTAAGAATATTCTTAGCTTCATCAATAACATTCATGTTAGAGCCAAAGATCAACAAATCATCAACATATACACAAATAATCACATGTGAATTATTTCAAGACTTATGATATATGCACTTATCACACTCATTTGTTTTAAAACCATTTTCAATCATGCAGGAATCAAACTTTTCATGTCATTGCTTTGGTGCATGTTTCAAGCCATATAGGGATTTAGTAAGTTTACATACTTTGTTTTCTTGGCCTGCTTCAACAAAAGACTCGGGTTGTTCCATATAAATTTCCTCATTTAGGTCTCCATTTAAAAAAAAACAGTTTTTACATCCATTTGATGAATTTGCAAATAAAAAATTGCAGCCATAACAATTAAAAGTCTTATGGATGTAATTCTTGTTACCGGTGAAAAAGTATCCAGAAATTCTAGGCCTTCTAGTTGTTTAAAACCTTTTGCAACTAGTCTAGCCTTGTATTTATCAATAGATCCATCCGGTTTCAACTTTTTTCTTAAGACCCATTTGCAACCAATAGTTTTACAACCCGGTGGTAAATCAACTAACTTCCAAGTTTTATTAGAAATCAGTGATTCCATTTCATCATTTACAGCCTCTTTCCAAAAAATAGAATCATGTGAAGATAATGCTTTTTTCAAAGTGAGAGGGTCATCTCCAACATTAAACACATAAAAATTTGGACCAAAATCGTTTTCTACTCTAGTTCTTTTACTTCTTCTTAACTCAAAATCATTAATTTCTTTATTTTTTAAAGTAGAAGTAGAAGAACTAGGTACTGACAAAATATTTTGTTCAATCCTTTGACCCCTACTATTTTTAGAATCAAAAGGGAATTTATTTTCATGAAAAATAGCATCACCCAATTCTATCACAATATTATCTTCAAGATTAAAAAATCTATAGGCTGTACTATTTGAAGCATAACCAAGAAAAGCACAAGTAGTATCTTTCTTACCCAACTTTGTAATCTTGGGATCCATTAGCCTCACAAAGGCTAGACAACCCCAAACTCTTAGATATCCCAAACTTGGCTTGTAACCTTTCCACAATTCAAAAGGTGTCATTTTAGACTTTTTATGAGGCACACGATTCAACACATAACAAGCAGTTAAAATAGCTTCACCCCAAAAATTTAAAGGTGCATGTGACTCAATAAGCATGGAATTAGTCAATTCAACCAAAGTTCTATTTTTCCTTTCCGCTACTCCATTAGATGAAGGAGAATAAGGAGGAGTATTTCATGAATTATTCCCAATGATCTAACAAAAGAATTAAACTCATATTCACGGCCTCTATCACTTCTAATTCTTTTTATTTTTCTTCCAAACTGATTTTCAACTTCATGGAGATAAACTTTAAAGTTTTCAAAAGCATCACTTTTATTTTTCATCAAGTAAACATATGTAAACTTAGAAAAATCATCAATAAAAGTGATAAAATATCTATTACCTCCATGAGTTAAAATTTCACCAAATTCACAAATATCAATATGAACTAATTCTAACATATCAATTTTTATTTCAACTTGAAAATGAGGCCTTTTAGTGATTTTGACTTTACTACAAGCCTCACACTTTTCAAAATTCTTTTTAACCATTGGGATTAATCCTAAACTACTCATGATTCCAATATAACGATCATTAATACGAAACAAATGAGCATACCAAAAATTAGTAGAAGAAAGCATATAAACAGAAGTAGAAACTTTATTCATTTGAACATTCAGTTTGAACATCTCATCACATGCATACCCCTTTACCACAAAAATACCCTTCTTCCCTATTACATATTGATCAGATTCAATAATCTGTTTAAAGCCTGCTTTATTAAGAAGAAAACTAGACATCAAATTTTTCCTCATAGAAGGATATAAAGTACATCTTTCAAAGTTAATACCCTTCCAGAAGTAAAGCACAATTCGACATCTCCCTTTCCAAGTACTTGAGTAGTGTGAGTATCACCAAGCATGATGGTTTTGGGCTCCTCAAAATGAGTATATTTTTTAAACTAGTCTTTGTCATAACAGACATAACAATTTGCACCAGAATCAACCCACCATCCATCAACATTCTCAACCATGTTTATGTCGGTAATCACCGCCACAAAAGGTTCTTCGATAGTGTTTGCCTGAGGGTTAGGGCCACGTTTCCGGAATCTGTAAAATTGAGCAATATGCCCACTCTTGCCACAAACAAAGCACGGTCCCTTGTCTTGAACTTGTTGATTTTGTGCTTGGTTATTTTCGCCACTATTTTTCTTGGGAGGTCTACCATTATTTTTCTTGAACTTTTTCTTCTTAGGCTTCAAAGAAGTATTTTTGTGAGTTTCAGGAGTAGCATTATTTGAAGTAATTAAATTTACCTTCGTTGTGATATTGCTCTCTTCTGTTTGTAAAAGTGCATCTTGGCCCCTAGCCTCTTCTTCCATGCGAATTTTCATTATCAAGGTTTCAAGGGAGGTTTCCTTTTGTTTGTGGCGCATAGTTTTTTGAAATTCCTTCCAAGAAGGTGGAAGTTTATCTACTATGCCACAAACAATAAGGTTATCTCCAAATTTTACCTCCTCGGACCTTAGCTCTCCAACAATCATTATAAAGTTTTGAGCTTGGTCTACCACTGATTTGTTGTCCACCATTTGGAAACGAAAAAATCTACTAGCTGCATATTTTTTCGCTCCAGCCTCTTCGGTATCATACGTACTCTGCAATGCTTTACAAATTTTCTTTGCACTAGAGTAAGTTCTATCATAATAACCATAAAAATTATCAGATAGACAATTAAGAATATAATACCGACACTTATAAGAATCTCCATCGTACTTTTCCACTTTCTCTAGATGAGAAATAGTTTCATCATCATTCATAGAGGTGATGTCTACTTTATTAGGATTCTTCTCAGTAAACACATAAGAAACATTGAGAAGACTTAAGTAGAAAAATATTTTACCCTTCCATCTCTTAAAATGGTTACCATTAAACCGAAATGGCTTGTTAAGGTCTCCTATCTTGACATTCGCGGTTTTTTCAATTGTAGTCATTATGAATCTCCTTAAAATTGTTAATGAAAACTTTCAAGATAACAAAAATACAAGATTACAATTGAAAATAAAAATGAAAAAATAAATCTCTTCAGGCTGAGGCGCGGATATCTCGCTCTCTTTAAGGAGATTCAAGCCCACTGCAGCAAATGTTTTTCACCGGTCCAGCAGTAGTCCTCTTTGACTTGTCCCCTCCAGGATACAACAACCTTCACAATATATAACTCAACAACTCTGGACAAGAGTTGAGTCCAAAGCTCCACAAAAAAGAACACCTTCCTTCAACTAATAAGAACTCTCTTTTTTGACTAACTTTTCCACTCTATATTTCCTTGTGTGTTGTGTCTACCAAACCAAATAAAGACCACCACTATTTATACTAGAAGAAGTCTTCCTAGCAATGAATAAGAAGATAAATGGTGTAGTAAATAGTGAAGATAATGGCCTTAGGAGTTACATATGTTACAAAGAATAATGGAAGAATAAAGAATGAGATAATGGAGAAATAATATGGAGAAGTAATGGCCAAGATGCCACTACCGATGCTGCAAGAAATGATCATAACATCAGCACTTACTCCGAATGGAGTAATGCTCGAAATAACTACCCAACGGTTAAGACAAAAGAATTATCCACCAACGGACAACTTACAACAAATGCAATACTTTGACTCCAAACATTTCAAGCAAATTAATATACAAAAATATTAATATTAAAATCCTGACCAACAGTCATTGATGACATATGGACAACCGGAGCTTGGGAAGATATAAAATCATGTTTCCCAGACTGTAACTGTGGAAGTCGAATACTCCTGACTATTCGGAATGTGGAAGTGGCTGGATATGCTAGCTCAGGTAAGCCTCCTTATCACATGTGCCTCATGAATTTTGACGAAAGTTGGAATTTACTTCACAGAAAGGTCTTTGAGAAAGAATGTTCTTCTCCTGAATTTGAAAAATTTGGGAAACAAATTGCATTTAAATGCGGAGGATTACCTCTAGCAATTACTGTGATTGCTGGACTTCTCTCCAAAATCGGTAAAACATTGGATGAGTGGCAAAGTGTTTCGGAGAATGTAAGTTCAGTGGTAAGCACAGATCTTGAATCCCCCAATGCATGAGAGTGTTGGCTTTGAGTTACCATCACTTGCCTTCTCACCTAAAACCGTGCTTTCTATATTTTGCAATTTTCCCGAAGGATGAACTGATTTTTGTAGATAAGATTGTGGAGTTATGGGCTGTAGAGGGATTTTTGAAGGTAGAAGAAATGAAAACCGTAAAAGAGGTGGCAGAAACATGTCTACACGAACTTATAGATAGAAATTTAATTTCCATCAACAATTATAGTTTTGATGGAAAAATCGAGAGTTGTGGAATGCATGATGTGACCTGTGAGCTTTGCTTGAGGGAAGCTCGTAACATAAAATTTGTGAATATTCTCAGGGAAAAGAATGATCAAATTCCAAATATGGAATCCATGCATTTTTCCTCTATGAGTCGAGTTCGGATCAATATCCAATATGTCATGTTCAAGCATACTATTGAGAAAATATTGGATACGTATCCTATTAATGAGTTCCGGTCTCTTATTTGTTTTCGAGCTCACTGGTTTATGCCAAAATCAGGAGTTAATACCTCAGATGGTCACTCAACTATGCATTATTTTCTCAGAAAGTCATTCAACTTTGGTTTTTAATTGAAAAATCACTCAACTATGAGTTTTTTTCTCAAAAAGTCACTCAACTTTGGTTTTATTTCAAAAGTCACTCAACTATGAGTGTTTCACTTACAAAGTCACTCAACTATGAATGTTTTACTTACAAAGTCACTCAATCTATTTAATTAATTTTTTTCATTAAACTTACAAACATGAAAATTTTATTTCTTACTAAAATTTTAAAAAATAAAGAGATATTCATTTAAATCATTTAATAACTTGATCCGCTAAAAATATAATATATTACCTTTTATTTTACTCCTTTTCTCCAATTGTGTGTGAATATAGCGATCTCCATGCATTGTTCATAAAATATAGAAATTACAAAATTACTTTTTTAGTAAATTCAAAATTTTAGTAACAACGATACATAATGAAGGAACAAAAAGAAGTGATTAAAAAAACTGACTTGAATTTGTTACTAATGTTTCTCCTACCGTTAAGTTAATTAAGATTTGGTCTTTACATGTTTTTTTTTTTTTGTAAAATCGGGTTATTAAATGGTTTAAATGAATATCTTTTTGTTTTTTTATAATTTTAGTTAGAAATTAAAATTTCATGTTTGTAAGTTTTAATGAAAAAAATCAATTAAATAGATTGAATGACTTTGTAAGTGAAACACTCATAGTTGAGTGACTTTGTAAGTGAAACACTCATAGTTAAGTGACTTTTGAGTTAAAAATTAAAGTTGAGTGACTTTCTGAGAAAAGAACTCATAGTTGAGTGACTTTCTGAGAAAAGAACTCATAGTCGAGTGACTTTCTGAGAAAAGAACTCATAGTCGAGTGACTTTCTGAGAAAAGAACTCATAGTTGAGTGACTTTCTGATAAAATAGTGCATAGTTGAGTGACCATATGAGATATTACTCCCCAAAATTTCCTTTCAAGCTAGTAAGAGTACTAGATCTTACTTTAGTAAGATGTAATACTTTCTCCTGTTTGATACTCAATTTAATTCACTTGAGGTACCTAGCTTTGACTCTTTTTCCTAGCTTAGAGATTCGTCAAGAAGAAGAGGTCTTCTCATCAATAGACATTCCTCCATCAATATCTAACCTATGTTATTTGCAAACTTTTATAATTTCACATGACCGGGCCATGGAATGTCCTTTTATATTACCATCAGAAATGTTGATAATGTCGCAATTGAGGCAACTACGTTTGGACTGGAATTACTTGCAGAATCATGAGCCTACAGAGAAAAGTACTTTGGTTTTGAAAAATTTGGAATGTCTGTCTGGTTGGAATCCTTGGTATTGTACTAGTTCTGACTTAAGACTATTTCCTAAGTTAAAGAAGTTGCAAATATGTGGTGTCCAAGAAGACTTTTGTAGTCGCAAGGACCTGTATGATTTTCGATACTTAGATCAGCTCGAGGAACTGGAATTTCGTCTTAGTTATACACTTGCTTCTTGCTTTCTAGAAAGCATAACACCTTCAGGTCCTCTGAGGTTTCAGAGAGAAGCGCGACATTGTGGAGATCCTGTTCCACCTTTGCTCCTATCTCCTCTGGATGCTTTTCCACAAAACCTTAAGAAATTAATTTTTAGTGGACATTTCTTCATGCCATGGAAGGATTTCAGCATTGTTGGTAAATTACCCAAACTCGAGTCCCTTAAACTATCATATACTTTCTTCATAGACGGGGAGTGGGAAGTATCTGGGGAAGGATTTCCTTACTTGAAGTTTGTGCCACTCGAATATTTAAACATTAGGTACTGGAAAGCCAGTAGTGATCACTTTCCGTGCCTTGAACGACTATTTCTTGAAGGTTGCTTGTGTTTGGATTCCATCCCTCAAAATTTTGCAGATATAACCACATTTGCACTAATTGATATATGTCGTTGTGCACAATCTGTTGGGAATTCCGCCAAGCAGATTCAATAGGACATGGAAGACAACTATGCAAGTTCTATTGAGGTCCATATCCGTTAAGCTTGTAAGACATCTTCGTTCTTGATTCTACTTCTAAGGCTTATTTTATCTGTCAGATTCTCGAATTTCATTTTTGTCCTTTATTTGTCTGCAGGACAAAACATATCAAAACAGATCATCTAGTTCTTTGAAAGAAACACTGATTCAGAGTTCACCTGTTCGAGAGGCCATCTTGTTCCTTCTTGTTTTCATTCTAGTTTTTTTGGAATAGAATGAGTTCAGATAGATTTTTTTTTTTGATAGCAAATTTACCACTAGACAGAGCATCTAGCGGCCTTTTATTGAAAATAAAAATATATCAATAGGGATAATACAAGCAAGGGGGGCTAGGCCTTACCTTACTATTCCTAATGAGAAAACGTCTCTACTAATTAACAAGCATGGAGAAAATAAGAACTAGAGAAAACTAGGTATTCATGATCATCACTGAGTTTATAATCCTCACTATGATGATATTACAAATGAGGATGCTTAAGTAATGCAAGAATATAAAAGCCAAGAATAAAGATGAGTTATCCAACTCAAACTTCATTTGATATATGTATGAACTAAAAAAGATAGTTTGCCCGTCTAAAGTCTTATCTTCTTCTTCAAATTTGTCCACAAATGATTGATAGTTCATCACTTCTTGTTGGATTTGTCGGATCTTGATAGAGTTGTTGACACTGTCATATGATTTTGCTTTGCCAGACGCATCGGTAGGTGCCTTGGAACAAATTCCTCACTCACCTTACCATCCCAACTATGTTGTCTTCCATGTCTTCTTTTTGCATTTGGTGCTTCCACTTCTTTGTTGTCTAGGTGAAAGATCCCCATCCTTAGCCACCTTATCAAAGCATATATCCAACATATCATCTTCATCATCCTCATCAGACATGTCATTGCCCGAGTCAGGAAGGATATCACTATTATCCAAGTTTACTTTTGTAGCACTCAAATTAGATGAAGTATCTAAGACTGCCATAGATGTATTTGTCTTACTTGTAGGCACAAATTCGAGTGCTTGAGAGCTTAACTTACTCCTACACCTACTCCTACTAGGTGTAGGAGTATGATTCTCTGCCTCAACTAAATCTTCCCATCTTGAAGCTGTAACATCCGGCAATATGAAATAATTGAAGAGGCTTAGAATTGGAAATTTTCATTTTTTTTGGAAAGAATTTAAAGTTTTGGAAATTTTGGCTAAGTATGGAAAATGTGAAATTTTGGCCAACTTTGAACAGCCATAAATTCTAGCTCAGGATGAGTTAGGTGGAATTCCAGTTATGGTTGCAAAGTTCGTGGAACGACCTTTCCAACGCTGCCGAGTTTGCTCGATTCCGAGTTCGTATGAGGGAGTTACGACCTTCGAAAGTTGGGCAGTTGACAAGGAGATCCGTCCGGGAATCATTAAGGGCATTTTAGTCTTTTCCCTAGCCAATTCTTTTGAGCTCATATTGTTGTATTAGGATGATCTTTGGATCATTTTTGTCCCATTTTTGGTAAGAGAAAGAGTTAGGGTTCTTGTGATTGAAGAAGAGAAGAAGGAGAAGAAGAAGAAGAGAAGAAAGAGGAGATTTGTCAAGACCATTATGGAAATTCGTCGGGGGTGATCCCTATCAAGGTATGTGAGTTTTTCCGTGTGGGTTGATCCTTTCCCCCACACACCCCAAGTTTATTCCTTGCTTTGAGAAAAGATTGGGAGTTTGTTATTGAAGTGTTGAAGTTGTTAGTTGTTAGTTGTTGTTGAGGTTGTTGGTGGTGTTGTTGAATTTATTGTACGTTGTGAGACATGATTGGATCGTATATTTAAGTTGAAACCTATTGTATGTTGAGGGGATTATGATTCTAAGAGCTATGACCCTTTAGAGGTTGATCCACCATCGATTTGCAGAAGTTTCTGGGCTGTCGATCCCCATCTACGGGACTGACCTACGGACCGTAGATAGATCAACGGTCAGTACTGGTCAACCGTCGATTGGGACAGAAGTTGGGGTTATGGGGCGTCGATCTACGGTCGCGACCTACGGTCCGTGACCTGACCTACGGACCGTAAGTCCGTACCGTAGGCCAACACTTAGTCTTTTTCTTAAATGAAATTTTGGGGAAAATCTCTGACGAAATCTACGGACCTGCAGTACGGACCGTAAGTCCATCTACGGTCCGTCGATGGCGACCGTAAGTCCCATCTGTGTCACCAGAAATCTGAAGTCTCAGCCAAGTTTCCCCTCTTCTTTTCTCACTTTCTCATACATGTTCCAAAGTAATTTACCTATGTTTTATAGTTGTTTTCGACGTTCCAAAGTGCGTCTAAGCGTTCAAGAATCCTTCCATAACATGTGATCGAACACCTTGAATTCATAATTCCAATTCAAGGAAAGATAGTTCCAAGTCAAGTGAAGTTTCAAGTCGAGTAAGAGTCTTAGTTTCAAGCTAAGTCATGAGTTTAAAGTTGAATTCTCTTCAAAAAAAAGAAGAAAGAAAGTATTAGGGAACTAAGTATTCCCAAAGGAGGTCGTAAATGCTTTTATATTTGAATAAAAAGGGAATCATGTTTTCTTTCCCAAAGGAGCCTTTGGGCTAAAGTTTTGAGTAATTATCTCAATCAAAGAAAGAAGTTATTTTAAAAAGCATGAGCCAAAGTAATTTTGGGAGTAGTATTGAGCACCGAATTGGGGACACGAGTTCATATTAACTCAACTCTCCCTAAGAACCATGCGCCAACATGGGACTTGTCGTATCATTCTTTTTAGATGATCACGCAAGATTAGGCTAGTGGATCCACTAAGCAAAAGTAAGGTCCTATATCGATGGCAAGGTATAGGATGGTCCTTTGGCAACGTGAGGTAAAACGTTGTATCATCACTAAGGCTCGTAGTGGTGGTTGTCGGTTAAAGAACCTCCCACAAAAGTTGTTTTATGTTTATAAAAGAAAAGTGGAGTTTGTTGTCATTTTATCCTTAACGATCTAAGTTGTTTACATTCTTTTACAAGCGTTATATGTGTGGCTCGTGTCTTATTGCTTTACTTTGAGTCCAGTTATGTATATGAGTCGTTCAGAGTCAAGGTAAGTGATCTCTTGTTCCCTTTTCAAGCTTAAGTTGTTTTTAGCGGTCCAGCTCGCATACTCGTACATTCCACGTACTGATGCCAGTTGGCCTGCATCGTTTTATGATGCAGACGCAGGTACCCAGGATCAGCACCCTGCACGCCGTTGATCCAGTTGGGCACTCTAGAGTCAGTGGTGAGCCTCCTTGCTTCCAAAGGGCTCAGTTATTTTGTTCTCTTAGTTTTGTTTAGTAGGGTGTTGTGGGGTCTGTCCCAACATCCATCTAAGTATTTTAGAGGCTTCATAGACAGTCAGTCAGTTAGTTTTGAGTCTCTTATCTATGTATATATATAAGTATTCTATTTTGAGACTCGAGTTGCCTTTTTGGCCAGATATGTATCATTTAAGTTGTTTATGCCTCTGCATAGCATTGAGTTATTTTGTTGAGTAGGTTTCCGCTGAGTTAAGAAAGCCAGGCCAAGGGTTCGCTTGGGGCCAGCAATGGTCTCCGAGTGCCGGTCCCGCCCAGGGTGTAGGCTCGGGGCGTGACAAACTTGGTATCAGAGCACAGAGTTCAAGAGTCCTAGGGTGTCTATGAAGCCGTGTCTGTAGAGTCCTAGTTATCGGTGTGAAGCGCGCCACATCTATAATTGGGAGGCTACAACATTTAGGAAGGTTTCCATTTTTTTCACACTCTTCTCGTGCGCTAGAGTTGATCTCTAAAGAGTTTCCTTTTAATCCGTGCTTACGCGTGTTTTCAGATAGTCATGCCTCCACGAAGAGTTGGTAGAGGGCGTCTTCCTAGACGCTATGTTGATGAGCAAGAGTTACCCTATGCACCGGGAGTGCAAGATCAAGGGGAAGTTTCTAATGCCGAGTTCAGAGAGGCAATTAGGATGTTGAGTCAAGCTGTAGCCAATCAGGTGGGTCAGCAAAGGGGAGTTCGACATGAAGGAGCTGACACTTCAAGGATCCGTGAGTTCTTGGGGATGAATCCTCCGAGTTTCATGGGATCAAGCACTACTGAGGACCCAGAGAACTTCATTGAGGAGTTGAAGAGGATTTTTGATGTAATGCATGTAGCAGACACTGAGCGGGTTGAACTAGCTGCGTATCAGCTGAAGGATGTTGCTAGAACATGGTTTGACCAGTGGAAAGGGGGTAGAGTGAGAATGCACCATCGGCGAGTTGGGCCGATTTTGAGGAAGCTTTCTTGGGGCATTTCTTTCCTCGAGAACTGAAAGAGGCCAAGGTACGTGAGTTCCTTACCCTTAAGCAGGAGCCCTTGAGTGTTCGCGAATACAGTCTGAAGTTCACCCAACTTTCCCGCTATGCTCCGGAGATGGTTGCGGACATGAGGAATAGAATGAGCTTGTTTGTTGCTGGGCTGTCTCGGTTGTCGAGTAAGGAAGGTAGGGCTGCAATGCTTATCGGGGACATGGACATATCCAGATTAATGGTCTATGTACAGCAGGTTGAGGAAGAAAAGCTGAGGGATAGGGAAGAGTTCAGGAGTAAGAGAGCCAAGACCGGTAATGAGCCTGGGCAGCAGAAAGGTAATGTGAATCGTCCGTCCTTCCAAGAAAGGCAAAAGGGACCTGCTCCATCATCTGTTAGCGCACCCGCACCAAGGTATAGAGGTGGTCATAATGGCCAGAATTCGAAGGACTTCAAGGCTAGACCAGTACAGTCCTCAGGTAGTGTGGCACAAAGAAGCAGTTTGTTTCCTGCATGTGCTAGGTGTGGTAGAACCCACCCAGGCAAATGTCGTGATGGCCAGACAGGATGTTTTAAGTGTGGGCAAGAGGGTCACTTCGTGAAGGAGTGCCCTAAGAATAATCAAGGTAGTGGAAGTTTGGGTAGTAGGACCCAATCTTCATCAGTTGCTCCCCCAGACAGGATGGCACCTAGAGAGCTACTTCTAGTACCGGTGGAGGAGCAAATCGCCTTTATGCTATCACCAGTCGCCATGAGCAAGAGAACTCTCCGAATGTTGTCACTGGTATGATCAAAGTCTTTGCTTTTTATGTATATGCTTTGTTAGATCCAGGAGCAAGTTTATCTTTTGTGACTCCTTATGTTGCGAATAAGTTTGATGTTCTTCCTGAAAGACTTTGTGAACCCTTTTGTGTCTCTACACCTGTTGGGGAATCTATTCTAGCTGAAAGAGTTTATCGTGATTG